CTGCTGATTTACTTTTGGTCAAATGAGGATGGTGAATGTGTGGAAACACCGAGTTAGTATCCATGTACCTGATTCCACTCAAAACCTGCAATTCTACAAAAGTTGATTAATTTTGGATGAATGAATTATGTACACTTTTTATGAGCCTAAAACTTTAATAAATTATTTTTAAAAATCTGCTACAATGGTGACCTTCTTTGAATACACAGTTCCCTTACACTCTCACAGGAAGTAGCATTACTATGTGACCACAGTATGGCATGCCTCATTTTGCTGACCTTTGCAGATACTGCATTTACTGCAAAACGAAGATCTGTGGTTGCCCTGCGCTGAGCGTCTATCAGCACCCCTTCTCCAGCAGCAGGCTCTGGGTCACGTTTTAGTAGTTCCCACATTATTCCAACCTCTTTCATTACTGTTCTATTTGAGATGGTGATCTGTAATCATTAATGTTATTACTCTAATGATTCTGTAGCCCTATGAACCGTGGCCCTATAAGATGGTGATCTTAGTGGACAAATGTTGTGTGCTCTGAATGCTCCACCAACCAGCCTTTCCCTGTCTCTCTCCCTCCTCGTGGGCCTTCCTATTATTTGAGACACAACAATATCGAATGAGGCTAATTAATGGCCCTATGAGGGCCTCTAAGTGTTCAAGTGAAAGGAAGAGTCGCTCGTCCCTCAGTTTAAGCCAAAAGGTAGAAATGATTAAGGAGGCGAGGAAGGCATGTTGAAGCCAACACAGGCTGAAAGCTAGGCCTCTCGCACTGAACAGCCAAGTTGTGAATGCAAAGGGAAAGTTCTTAAAGGAATTTAAAAGCGCTACTCCACGGAACACACAAGTAAGACAGTTAAACAGGCGTCCTGCTGACGTGGAGAAAGTGTGAGTGGTCTAGAGAGGTAATACAGTCAGCCACAACACACCCTTCAGCCAGAACCTCATCCAGGGCAAGGCCCTCACTCCCTCCAATTTTACGATGGCTGAGAGAGGTGAGGACACTGCAGAAGAAAAGTCTGAAGCCAGCGGCGGTTGGTTGTAAGGCTTAAGGAAAGCAGCCATCTCCATTACACACAAGTGCAAGGTGAGGCCGCAAGTGCTGGTGGAGAATGGCAGCGAGCTCCCCAGAAGATTCAGCCAATGTTGCTGGTGAAGGTGGATGCTCTAAACCAAGGGCCCCCAACTGGTACCAGTCCGTGGCCTATTAGGAACTGGGCTGCACAGTATTTACAGCCGCTCCCCCTCACTCGCATAACTGCCTGAGCTCCGCCTCCTGTCACATCAGCACTGAGAAACCTGCTCCCATTTCCAACATCCTGTCTTGGTGAAGCAGGGTTTTCTGCAGTGACAGCAGCTGACACGAGGTTACAGAGAAGACTAGATAAAAGCCACACACTGCGGGTCACCCATCATCCCCACATGGAACCGTCTCATTGCAGGAAAACAAGCTCAGGGCTCCCACTGATTCTGCATGATGGTGAGTTGTGTAATTAGTTTATCATATATTATAATGTAATAATAATAGAAATAAGTACACAATAAATGTTATGCGCTTGAATCATCCCCAAACCACCCTACCCTCTACTCCTTCTGTAGAAAAATTGTCTTCCATGAAACCAGTCTCTGATGCCAAAAAGGCTGGGAACTGCTGTACTAAACAATATATTTTCAATGCAGACGAGCAGCCTTACATTGAACAAAGATGACATCTAGGAGTTTTTGTAGTTAGAGAAGTCAACGCCTAGCTTCCAAGCTTCCAAGGCCGACTCTTGTTATGGGTTAAGGCAGCTGGTTACTTCAAGTAGCCTTCTGAAAATCCCAGGGCCCTTAAAAATTATGTGAAATCTACTCTGCCTGTGCTCTGTACATGGAACAACAAAGCCTGGATGACAGCGCATCTGTTTTCAGTGGGGTTTACTGAGTATTTTAAGTCCACCGGTCAGAAAAAAGGATTCCTTTCAAAGGAACACTGTTCATTCATGATGCACCTTGAGTGGCCACCCAAGAGCTCTGATGAAGATGGACAGGAGGTGAATGCTGTTTTTAGGCCTGCTAACACAACATCCATTCCGCCATCCACTGGATCAAGGAATAACTTTGACATTCCAGTTTAATTGTCTAAGAAATGCATTTCATAAAGCTATAGCTGCCATAGATAGTGATTCCTTGGATTGATCTGGGCAAACTGAATGAAAAACCTTCTGGAAAGGCATCACCACTGTAGATGCCAGGAAGAGCCTTTGTGATTTATGGGAGGAAGTAAAAATCTCAACATTAACAGGAATTTGGAAGAAGCTGATCCCTATGGTCGGCTTTGGGAGGTTCAAGACTTGAGTGGAGGGAGTCACTGCAGATGGGGTGGAAACAGCAAGAGGACTGGAAGCGGAGCCTGAAGATGGGATGAAGGAATGCAGCCTTGGGACAGAACTTTAATGCGTGGGGAGCTGCCTCTTAGGAGGTGCAAAGCAAGTGGCTTCCTGAGATGGGATCCCACTCCTGGCGAAGGTGCTGTGAACGCTGTTGAAATGACAGCAAAGGCTCTAGAATATTCCATAAGCTTCGTTGACAAAGCAGTGCAGAGGCCTGAGACTACAATTTTGGAAGATGTTCTACAGTGGTTAAAATGCTACTAAATAGCCTTGCATGCTACAGAGAATTCTTTCGTGAAAAAAGTCAATTTCGTGAAAAAAGGAAACTTTGCTTCAATAGATGGAGCAAATTTCACTGTTGTCTTGTTTTAAGAAACTGCCACAGCCACCCCAGCCCTTAGCAACCACCATCCTGACCAGTCAGTGCCATCAACATCGAGGCAGGAGCCTCCAGCAGCAAAAACATTACAACTGGCTGAAGGCTCAGATGACTATTAGCATTTTTTAGCAATAAAGTATTTTTAAATTAAGGTATGTACATTGTTTTTAAGGACATAATGCTATTGCACACTTAGCAGACTTCAGTACAGTGTAAACATAACTTTTACATGCGCCGAATTTTATAAGAATTCATGACTTGCTTAATGAAAATATTTTCTTTTCTATGAAGGTCTGGAACCAAATCCTCAATATCTCTGAGGTATGCCTGTGTAAAATCTTGTAAACATTTTAGAAGGGAAGGGTAAATTCAATTTTCTTTTTTGAGTCGGAGTCTCACTCTGTCGCACAGGTTGGAGTGCAGTGGCACACTGACGGCCACCCCAGCCGCAACCTGCTGGGCTCAGGTGACCTTCTGCCTCAGCCTTCCAGGTACCTGGAACCACAGGCATGTGCCACCACACCTGGCTAATTTTTAAATTTATGGTAGAGATGAGGTCTTGCCAAGTTGCCCGGACTGGTCTCAAACCCGAGTTCAGGCAATCCTCTTGCCTCCACCTCCCAAAGTGCTGGTATTATAGGCGTGAGTCACTGTGCCTGGCACATTTGGCTTTCTTTTGGGAGTTAAGGCTATTAGTGCAAATCCTTCACTCTCAGAATAGTAACATTGCATAACTGTAAGCTTAAGGATGCCAGCTTTTTCAGGAATTTTTAATAATCTTTTCTGAAAATTCTATGTATTACGGGTAGATTAGACTAATATCCATACACATGTTTACTTTTTAAATACCAAAAGATTAGATTTATACACATAACACATAACTACTTTCAAAGACCCCAATTCAACTACTAAGCTTAGGTCTATGTTTAAGCTCCCGAACAGGATTAGATCATCAGAAGCTGGGATGAAAGGAAACAAGATCATGACCAATAATGGTTTTTAAAACCATCTCCTTGTGAAGTAAGATTGCTCTGAAATGATACATGCAGCTGGGCTCGGTGGCTCAGCCGGTAATCCCAGCACTTTGGCAGGTTGAGGTGAGAGGATTGCCTGAGCCCGGGGTTTGAGACCAGCCTGAGCAACTTGGTGAGACCTTGCCTCTACAATAAAAAAATAAAAAAATTAGCTGGACCTGGTGGTGTATGCCTGTAGTTCCAGCTACCCGGAAGGTTGAGGTGGAAGGATCGCTTGAGCCCAGCAGGTTGAGGCTGCGGTGGCCATGAGGGTGCCACCGCACTCCAGCCTGGGCAACAGAATAAAAAAAAATTCAGTCATAGATAAGAGTTTTATAAAGATAAAAACCCCTTAAGCTTAGCAATACATTGCCTTTTGAATCTAAATATAGATAATTTTGAGTATTTCAAGAAAATTGTAATCTATACCATTAAGTCATCATGGAATTCCTACATGAAATATGTTTTAATAAACAAAAATTTTAAAACTGGTAGCAACAGCTTTGATACCAGCTAAATATTACAGAGTTTGGACATGACTATTATATGAGAGAGAAAAATGACAATACATACTTTTTTTTTTAAGGTATATATATTCTTTCCCCAAGGTGTAGAGTGTTTGTTGTTGTTGTTGTTTTTGAGTCAGAGTCTCACTCTGTCGCCCAGACTGGAGTGCAGTGGCACATTCATGGCCACCGCAGCCTAGAACTGCTAGGCTCAGGAGATCCTTCCTCCTCAGCCTTCCAAGTAGCTGGAACTACAGACGCAGCCACCATACCCGGCTAATCTTTTGATTTACTGCAGAGGTGAGGTGTTGCCAAGTTGCTCAGGCTGGTCTTGAACCCCTGGGCTCAGGCAATCCTCTACCCTCTGCCTCCCAAAGTGCTGGGATGGCAGGCATAAGCCACTGCGCCCAGCTGGTGTAGAGTGTTAAATACTTGTCACCAATCAAATGTTACAAAATGCAGAGTGTGAGCTTTTTCATATAATCAGATTAAAAAAAACAAACAAACAGATACATGATTCCAAAAAAGGAGCATTTCGTAACATCCCATTTCATCGGAAAATGTCCAAGTAAGCTTTAACTACGAATACATATTTGAGATTTATTTCTCTGTTCTTCCCAAGTTGAAATGGAAACATTTCCTATCACTATAGTATATTCCTCTTACTTTTCTTCCAGGATTGACATAAAACATCACAACAGCAGCACATCAAAGGTGCATGCTGCGCTCCTAATACCTGTAACAGGTTCTTCCCACAATTGACTTTCCTTCTCTCCACTGAGCGGTCACTTCAGTGGGATCAAGCAAGCCTTCAAGAACGTGCTCCCAGAGATACAAGCCTGCAATACAAGAAAACAAAGCAGTGAACATCTCCCGTCTCGCCTGTCTGGTGTGTGTTCTGTTCCTTTAGTCACTTGACCATGAAGCCACAGTTTCTCTCGGGCCGTGGGCGGGCAGTGTTCCCACCAACAGCCCCATCACACCATCAGCGTCAAGTGGCAAACGTGAGTTACAGTACAGGCCTCTCTTCCTCTAGATTTGAGTAACCCTGAATTATCACTGACCTTTACTACCTCTTATTCTGAAATCAAATGCATTATATTCCAAAGTAAACCACTATACAATTAGAATTGCTTCTATGATACCCAGGGGAATTCACCATTTTGCGAGGCGTCATGGACACACATGTGTGCTCAGGGGTCAAGGGAATGGGCTTCCTCCTCTGGCGTCAGCACACCCCTGAAGGCATGCTGCCCTGCAGACAAAGGCTGCCACATGTTCCCTTCTGGCACAGCTGCAATGGGATTTCGGTCACAGGAGGAGTGGACACAACGGGTAGACAGCACACACCTCTGTGTTAGTGATACTGGAAGATGCGTTTTGTTCCATTCTCATTACACCCTGGCACTAAGGAAGCCAAACAACCATGTCTAAAATCGGCCAACTAGACAAAGCTTTCCAAACAGGGTAGGCTGAGTCACATACCCCCTACAGCCTCCCACAGAGACACTCACGTCCCACTCTCCAGAACCTGTGTGTTACCTTATATGGCAAAAGGGACTTGGATGTGTGACTGAGTTACAGGTGCTGAGGTGAAGAGATGACCACAGGTTATGCAGGTGGGCCCTATGTAGTCTCAAGAGCCCTCCCCAGAGGAAAGCAGGAGGCCAGAAGGGGGGGGGGAGACGGGAGGATGGAGGCGGAGGCTAGAGGGCGTGAAGCCACTGGTCGAGGAATGTGGGTGGCCTCTAGAAACTCACAAGGTGAGGAAGCAGATTCTCCTTAAAGCCTTCAAAAGCAGCACAGCCCCAATGACACATTTCAGATCTGCAGGGCACAATTGAGAAATGTAGGGTGATACATCTGTGCAGTTTGGAGCCCACATGCTTGTGGCAACTTGTTATTATGGTGGCTACAGGAAACTGGATGATGCAGTGAGAGGACGGTCCTGGGAAAGGGGTACAACTCTGACAAATACTTCCAAACATGGTGTGCTTTGGAACTGGGAGATGGGGAAAGGCTGGGGAATACTGAGGAACGTGACTGCAAAGGCCTAGATTAGATGCCTTGAAGAGACTACAGGCAGAAATACGGAGCTTAATAGCTCAGCTTGCGAGGACCCAACAAAGTGGGGCCCACAGTGCACAGACCCCGTATTGTCTTAGAGAACACCTCAATGTCACAAGCAGATTGTTGGTGGAAAAATGCATATGAAAGGCACTGCTCACAAGGACTCTGTGGGACACGAGGAACATGTTATCAGAGAGTGGAGGAAAGGGGATTTTGCAATATAACAGCAAAAATGTAGCTGAATTGTGCCCTGCAGTTACGTGGAAAGCAGAACTTGTAAGTGATGAACTTAATCATTGGCTGAAGATGGTTCTGAGCAAAGTGTTAAAGGTGAGGACAAGTTTCTTCTTGCTGATTACAGTGAAACATAAGAGGAAAGAAAAGGATTGAAGGAAGACCCGTTAAACAACAAGGAGCCAGAACTTGATGATTTGGGCCTTCCTTAGACAGTTAAGATTGCAAAAGAGATAAAAATTAGATTTACTGTCAGGAGAGAAGGCCACAAATGGGGCTGTACACAGTGCCCTGGAAGCATCAGATTAGACTAATCATTTACATACACACAAAGGGCTTTTTGAAGAGGTCACACCTGTGACTGATGGGTCTCCTCAGCCATCTCAGCAGAAACCAGAAACAGAGACGGGATCACTCAGAAAACATCTGCGGAAGAGCTTCTCTTGAAAATGTGAATCCCATGATACACACAGGAGACTCACATGGTTCTTGAGAATGTTACATCAGCAGAAACACTGCTGCCAGCATGGACTAAAGAAGGCTGTCAGGCTCTGAACATTTTACAAGCAGATGTTGGGCTGATAAAATGACTAAGCTGCAGACATGTGCTACTCTTCATGGAAAAGGAAGAGTGACTCCCGTGGTGGAGCTGGAAAGCCAGAACCTGCAAGTCATGGATTTTTCCTCGGCCTGGAAACCCAAAGGAGATGGAGATTGCCCGGCGTGATATCTGCCTGTGTGGATCAGCGACTCCTTTTGACTCCTATCCCCCTCTGTTTGAGTGAGTGCATCTATGCCAGGTTTCCTCTGACTATGTCTAGGGAACAGGCCGAAGAAAGCAGCATGAGACAAAACCCACCAGGCCATTTGGTGCTTATCAGATCGAAAAGAGAAAAGCTGGCTGGGCACATTGTCTCAGCCTGTCATTCCAACACTTTGGGAGGCCGAGGCAAGTGGATTGCCTGAGCCCACAGGTTTGGGACCAGCCCAGGCAACTTGGAAAGACCTTGTCTCTACAATAAATCAGAAATTAGCCAGGGGCAGTGGTGCACACCTGTAGTTCCAGCTCCTTGGAAGGCTGAGGCAGAAGGATCACCTGAGCCCAGCAGGTCAAAGCTGGGGTGGCCGTGAGCGTGCCACTGCCCTCCAGCCTGGGTGATGGAGTAAGACTCCAACTCAAAAAAAAAAAAAAAAAAAAAAAGGAGAGAAAAGTCTAGAAATGAATGCAAACCTGTAAAGATGTAGAATTAATTATGAACTATGATGAAAGGTAGGGTTAAAGGAAGAAGTTACAATTAGAGACTTGCTAGAACGTGATGATTACAGGCCTGGGTTCAGGTATTTGAACTTTAGAGGCTGGAAGCCACCTTCAAGGCTATATGTTTGTATATACGCATGAATGCATGCAGGCAATCTCGTGAGCCAGGCCCTAGCTCTGTGCTTTCCTCTGGTCTGCTATTTCTATCCACATCCTTTATTGCACACAAATCCAGTTCACCTTCCAAGGCCAAATGAAGCCCCTTCTAAATCGCAAAATCCTCGCTGATTCTTCTGGCCCTCAGTGCCTCCTTCTCTAACAGAGCATAATGTATGTCCTGGAACACTAGACTCTCATGACCCTCACGAGAGGAGAAGCCCAGCTGCTTCTGTGGACAATCAAGTTTAATCAACCACATACCCTATCCTCTTCCTCGATACTCACAGCGAACACTGGCGTTAAAGGCTCCAAGAAAGGCCCACAAGGAAGAACCTTGTTTACCTTCGTTCTCTTCAGTGTTCCCCAAACTTGTGTGGCCATCAAGGGCAGAGGTCACATCTAATACTTGTGCGTCAAATATCCAGTAAATAGAGAGTCATGAAAATTCAATGGACACACGCATGTCCATGGACTGGTGCTACCCAACGTGCTCATGGGATCTACCACGGAGTTGGGCTCCGCCAATGACCAGCAGTGGAATCTGTGTTTGTGTATCTACATACAGATGTGGTCTACTGGGAAGGAGAAATCAATATTGGCAAAAAATACATCATACCTGAATTAACAAATGATGAAATAAATGACATCAAAATGAAAGTAGTATCAATTAAGTGCATTTTACAGTGCTTTTTACTTCTTTCTTCTACATATGAACTTACCAATGGCGGCTTTTCCCCAGATCTGTACACTGAGGTCTGTTTTCCCTTTCGTGGATTTGTTTAATATCTGCAGGCTAGTTTTCAATCTGTGTTGTTGCTCATTTTTTTCATCTCCTTCCCAAGGATTCCATTCTTCACTTCCCAAAGAAGACTGTTCTGTTTTAAGAAAGAGTAAAATTTTTACCAGGAAGGGGGGGTGACACGGGAGGGCGGTGGG